TCTGCGGTTGTCGGTAAAGTGAGCAACATGTCCTGCCCATCGGATTTTACTAACAAATGACACCTATTAATTTTTAAACAAATGGACGAGGGACCGCTAGTGGGATAATAAGGTTCACTTGAGCTTTTAATGCTGCGTGGATACGGTCTAATCATAAAGAAGCTGCCACCGATATCAAAAAAGGCTGCCACGGATACAGCAGTCGGTATCAGGAACAGTGGCTAATTGGTGATGCGGAATCCAGATCGTGCACTATCACTTCCCAGCCATTTTAGTTTATTTAAAATGCTCTTTTTTTTAAAGTGTGCAGATATTTTTGGTTGTAAAATTAAGTGCTGAAATTAGCAGAACTAGTGACATATATTACGAAAAGAGCATTTTGTGCAAAAACCTTTCCAGCATTTTGCACATATTACAGGAACTGTACAGAAGAAAGAAATTGAAACAGTTATCCGAGTAGATTTTTGGCTGCGCACGGGGCAGATGAATGACCGTTGGCCAGCCTGTGATACTTGGACATTACACCGGTAGATGTTAGCTTGAGTAGCTGTGGACTGAACGGATGATTGAGCTGCAGATGTTGTACGTATTCGTCGAATACAGGCGCCGTGAAACCACAGTCTTCACAGACAAATACCTGAAAAAAAAAATAATCTGGAAGCATACTGCACAACTCCCCTTCAGTACTTCTTCATTTCCAAGCGATAGGAGGTCATGAGTAAATGATAATACTGTTTACCTTGCTTCTCCGTTCCTTGTAACCGTAATTATGCTGCGTTCCGTGTACTTTACGCAGGTGTGATTCCAATGAACATCGTTGCGTAAATGATTTCTCGCACTGATCACATTTGTATGGCCTCACACCTGCATTTCACATTTTTGCGCTTACTTTTCAGCACCCACATTGATTACCTGAGCAGTACTGCTTGCCCCGAACACTCACGAAAATCTGCAGTGGATTGCTGAACAATTTAAGAAATCAAACCCCTGCCACAGCACTGCTACCTTAATAACTTCTAGATGCCTGCTTATTTTGCTAGCTGATACGGATCTGCTCACTGTGTATTGATGACTTTCACATACCTATTAATAGCTTGTTAAATAAGTATAACTGAATTAAATTTTCGTTGCTGTCTCTAATAGAGGTTTTAGCTACGACCTATATATACATATAAGAATATAAAATTATATTAATAAATTACATGAACACGAATGTTTCTATCCATTAAGAGATTTTCACTGCTGACTTTTTCAGTCAAAAATTCAAGTTTTGCTAACCACTTATAAAATTCAGCGAAGAAATATCTCGAACAAATAGCACAAAAAAGTGTTATGAACATTTATCAGAAATTTACGAGTGGAGTGATGCCTGATGCCTCTCAGAAATTGATTTTTGTTCGAAAGCTATATGATACTAAATTTTTACACAGTATCTCGTATCTTACTCCCCGAGTGCCCCAGCTTCTCTCAGAAAGCAAATATGGAGGGAGTTCTGACTTTTGGCTCTGGATATCCCATCTCGATTTTGACGTCTAATGGAACAGAAGTGTCTAATTTTGAAGCGAATTATATGTAGTATAGCCCATAGGATTAGTTAATTCAAAAAAGGATTTTTCAAAACCCCCAAAAAACTCTCAAATGAAGCAAACGTGTCGTTTAATTCCTAATATCGTGATCAAAATTGTTTAAAAATTGTTTACACCACACAGCCCCAGTTCAGTAGTTTATTGCTTCTGAGACTCGGCTTTCAGACGAATCGAAGAGTGAAAGGGTGCTGGATTAAGGTACCTGTATGAGTTCGAGTGTGTCTCTTCAGGTCGAATGTATCGTTGAAGCCTTTACCGCAAAATGTGCACAAATATCGTTTTATTTCTGAATGGCACTTTGCGTGCCTGTTCAAAAGCCTCTGTAGCGCGAATTTCTGCAACAGCTGTTAACATCAGAGATCAGTGTTAATCATTCTGGAGGCAAGTGATGAATGTGTGGTAAGAGCTTAAACTTGAATCTAAGGAAACTGTAGCCAGAGTAGATTTTAATAAAGGCCAAATGCTTTATAGTGTAATAGGGTGTGTTAAATCCAATGGAAAAACGGTAAGGAGAAGCAAGGAACTGGCATAAAAAAATCAAAGAAAAAACACATATGGGTTACTGTACTATCGAGAATTTTGCTCATAATGTAACTGAATTACGTGTGACGAAGCCCCTGTTTTCCGGGCTCTTTCATATCCCGGATATATCATTTAGGAGTTTGAAAAGAATCAAATGGCCACAGGAAATGAACAGGGAACCTTGCCGCATATCCTGCAAGTTAGTAGGCCGGGTTCGGAAGCGGGAGCAGGCGTTGTGTCTACGTCCGGTAACCGACTACATTGAAGGATCGGATTCTTGACACCATATCCGCCATTTATCCATTCCACGGCATTCACTGTCATCTAAAGCAACTCATTTTCAGAGAATTTTCCATTTCTACTATTGTGAAAAACCCGCGCCTACAAACACCATCTCTCCCCTTTACCTCATTTTTCATTCAACATTCTGAAATTTTTGGCTTGGATATGTAAAAAGACCCACAGACATAAAGTTATACGCTAATATCAGTCGTAAATAAAGCTCCCATCAGTCTTATTTTTAAAAAGAATTCATAACATATTTTGGCAGCGAATAGATACTTTTCATTACAAGCTCTATATGCATTTTTGCATGTATGCAAATGCAAAAAAGCATATTGTGACGTCCCATGGCGTGCGTGTGCATATATGTTTGTGTATGTGTGTGTATGTGTGTGTCTGTCCAGGTATTTCAACTCAGCAACCACGCAAGTTCCGGCGCCAAACTTTCCCCATTTGCCTCTCAGGGCCGCAGTACCAACCTTTATGCACTTCTGGGCCCCGCGTGAAAGTTTTGGCAAGAAAATCGCCAACTCGGGAACTAGAAAAGCTGGAAGGCTGAAATTTTAACGAAATGTTTCCAATCCAATTATCGCGTAGATGTACAGCCAACTTTCCGAAGTTCGAGGACCAGCATGTTACAATTTCTTGGTACTGGCTTTCCGAGTGGCTACACTACAACATGAAATTTTGCAAAAACTCAAGATTGCACAGGCTCTTCTGGTGCGCATCGTCAACGATTTTAATCTATCTGGCTATATTTTAAGTTCTGCTTTTGTAATAATAAGTGAGAAGCAGTCGGTGAGAAGTGCTGCTGGAATATTATTTAATATTAATGAGTGACATTAATATTAATAAAATTTAAAAGATTGATATAATAGTGAGTCTACTCTAAATAAACCCTAATTTTGGTAAACCAGTGCGTCTACATCTCAAAGTTGAGGTTTGATCCAAAACACAACAAAGTTAAGAAAAAACTATGATTTGTCTGCATACTGCAGTCACACTCCAGTAGTACTGGCAATCTCTCTGTAGGTTGAAATCGTGCAAAAACGCGTTTTCAAGTGAAATCATGCAAAAATGCACGATAATTTTTTTAAAGAATCAAGTTTCTTCTCAAGTTCTAATGCTTG